TGTTGAGGTGTAGGAGGTGGTATGTTTATGCTCTGTTCCATTTTTTAGCAAATTAAGAAAACTTTGTCTAAAACAATTTTTGTGATGGTTTGTATTTTTTGTGCTCTGTATGGAACATCAGTGCCTGTTTAAGTGATGAACTCCATTACTTGTGTTTGTTTTCAGACATGATAACAGACGTTTTATACTTGTGCTACAACTTTTTGGCCTGTGCTACAAAACTTTCAACCTCTGTAGCACCAGTGCTATGTGAAAAAAAAGTTGACGTACAGCCCTGGGTAAGGGACGTAAAATTTCCGTCACACGCTTGAGGAATTCGGCCAATCACAATGCACTGGATAGCTGGCCAATCAGAGCACACCTTGCTTTTTCAGACCGATGAGCTTTGTAAAAATCGACGCGTTTCAGAAAGGCGGGCATAGAGGAGAAACAATAATGTACAGTATGTGAAAAATAATGTGTTTTTTTAACCTTAAACTGCATAAACACATTTAATTACACCAAATACACAAAATAATGTTCGTTTTAGCAGCATCATATGACCCCTTTAAGGCAATACCAGAAGTCACTAACTTTTTTTTTTTTTGATTTACTGGTGAGTCTATTCATTTTCCATCTCTAGTTAATCACCAAAAGTTTGCTGATGTTCGAAATCATCTTGGACTGCTCTCAACTGGTGCAGCTGTCAACAACATGTTGAGTATGCCATGTCAGGTGAAGCCCGTCATTGCTGTAATTGACAACTTCAGTGTCTTGACAAAATTTCAACACCAGTGGATGCAGGCCTCTGTTTCAGACTCAAGTTTAACACTGTCTACATGCTGCAGATGTTTCAGAAACTTATTTCCATAACTGAAGGCCTCCACAATTTCCTGCAGAGGGATACTACAGACCTGGGACAAGCAGTTCAGTACAAAACAGCAGACTACAATTCTTTTAAAGAACAATGCACTTCATTGTTTGCTCATTAGTATGTTATGTATTAGTATCTGTGAAACAAAACACTAAAAATACTGACAATAATAAACATATTTTTCGTTTTTAGTTCATGAAGTAGGCACAGTGAAAGAGGATAAAAGTGTAAGGGATAGTAAGAGAAAGGAGTGGAGAGAGGGGAGCAGAAAGGAGAAATAAGAGGATAAAATGTATGGAGAAGACAAATTGAGCACATATTAAAAAGAAATGGATATAAAAAGAGAAATGAGGATGTTAGATTGCACACAATAATCCAGAAATATGTGCAAATATGGGTATAAACTTTTTGACTTGGCTAAGGAGCTTAATATTACATTAAGCCCATCTCCCCACATACATCTCCACATGTATCATGTTTCTGTCTCCCTCTGGTGGTGTGATGCTTTCCTAGTGGTCTTGGCCATGTTGGTCATGTTAGGGCATGTTCCAGCTCTTAATGTTTGTGGTCAGACTTACCTTTCAGTCATTATGCCATACCTTTGCTCTACATCTCATCTACAAGCTTGAAGTTTGGATGCATACTGACACACTTTCTAGTTTAGAGATGACCAAGGACATCTCCAGGGTGAGTTTAGTCCTGTTATTACATCATGCATGTGACGCTCATGTTTATTGTTTGATTAGTTATTTTGTAAACCACATTGGGCTAGGATTGTATGAATGCATTGGGTGAAGACTATTTTACTACCTATGGTCCTTTTCATCATCTGTCTTCACCAGAGTCTGACTGGGGTGAAATTCTCTTTTTATAGGCCCTTGTAAACAAATATATATATATATATATATAGATAGATAGATGTTTAAAACTGATGCACATGTTAAATTACATTAATTGTTGTTTTTCAAAAGGTGAAAAGGAGATATAATTAAGTTCCTTAAGTTCGCTTCACTGAAAATGTTTTCAGTTTTACAATAATTGCTCTCCATGGTCTCAAAAACTGGGAGTCAAAAGTTTGGAATAATTAAGATTTTTGAAGAACGTCTTACCAAGTCTTACCAACTTCTTACCAAGGCTGCATTTATTTGATAAAAATACAGTAAATATAGTAATATTGTGAAACAATTTAAAACACCTGTTTTCCAACTCAATATATTTAAAAATGTAATTTCTTCCAATGACGGCAAAGCTGAATTTTCAGTAGCCATTCATAGCCATCTGTAGCCATCCAGTCTTCAGTGTCACAAGATCCTGAACTGTTGAAGCATCCAGTTGAAAATTGCTTAATTTTTTTTACATCATCATCATTATTTTTTTTTCATGATTCTTGGATGAATATAAAGTTTATTTGAAATAAAAATCTTTTGTAACATTATAAATAGTCACTTTTTATATTTTATTTTGCCTAATAAAAGTATTAATTTCTTTTGAAAAAATCTTACTATGCCCTTTTGAATGGTATCAACTGTTTTGAAATATGAAATAATTAGAAATGTTTCTTGAGCAGCAAATCAGTATATTAGAATGATTTCTAAAGGTTCATGTGACACTGAAGACTTGGGTAATGATGCTGAAAATTCATCTGTGCTACCACAGAAATTAATTAAAATGTAAAATATATTCAAAAAGGAAACAGTTATTTTACTCTGTGAAAATCTTAGATTTGATTTTTATTTATTATTTATTAGCAACCATGCATTTATTTAAGTTGTGGGAATATGTATCCTGAATTTCTTTTTTAGAATAGTGGTGAATCAAATAGCAACAAGGGTTGTTTGCTTAACGTCCCACAAGCCTGTGGGTTTGTAATAATTGTATTAATGGAGAATGTGACCTTTGTGTGACACTCAGTGGCGATGATCACTAGCAGCCAAGTGGAAAAAAAAAACCTTATGTGAGACCAGCAGATGGCACTATAGACTCACTATTGAAAGAACTCCCCCAAGCCCTGCATCACCTCTCTCTGTCCTTACATCTCCACCTTCCGTCATTGCATGTAAAGTTTTATCAGCTTAATCTTGTTTTTATTTGATCTTTTATTATTCATAATAGAGAACTGTGCATATTACACTGTTATCATGTTACGTTGTACTTACTGTAAAAATAATACAAAGTCAATCGCTAGAACCTCAATTCCTAGGACACCTTAGTCAGATCGCTAAAAACTCATCTAATTCACTGTGATCTGATTTATAAGCATGTACTTTGTTTATTAAAGATGCTATATAGCAGGATATCCTCAGGGATTTTGCAGTCAGCTCTTGTGAGCTTTGTGTGTATGTGAGAGATTGAAGTGTGCAGCGGAGCTGAAAAAGCCCAGTGTGGTTTATGAGAGTGAGGGGCCTTCAGAGGGAGTACAGGAACAGACCGTTTCAAATTTCATCCTTCAATGCCAAACTCTCCTCTTCCAAACGCTGGTGTGTATTCAGTGTTTTAATATGGTACATAAAGAGTTAATCCCAATCACAGATGCATGTCATAAGTAGGCCTATGTAAACAAAAAATGTGAAGGTAGAAAACAAAGTATGTTTTCTGTGTTTGGTTTGAGGACAGAGCGACTGTACAGCTCTGTGTATGTATGTGTGTGACACAGATGAGGTTTGCATGTGTTTGTGTGTTTGCATGAGAGCATGGGAGTAATGAGTGTTCCACCTGAGCATACACAGAGAGAGGGGCAATAATTACCTCGACACAGGGGGTCGCCGGCCTTTCACACCTACACACACTCTCTTCAGCCCTTTCTGTATTATTCTGTGAGAAAGTAAGAAGTGGCACAGACCATGGGAGGCCTATTTTAAAAAAACCCGCTCTGTAATTACCGGAAAGAGAAAACACTGCTGCACAATCTCTGAGTGAGTTTCTCCTTCAATCATCCTCAAAACACTCTGCATAGGTTTCTGTAATTCTGCCTATGATTGTTTTAGACAGAGACCATCATTCATTAAATTCTACATTCATTT